CCGGGGCAGGCGGGGATCGAACTCATGCGTAAGTGGCTTTAGCTTCTTTGTGCAGTGCTTTAACCCGCTGCACCACCAGGGAGGGCCCCTATGTAAGTGTTTTTAATGGGTAATTCACATCCTGCTAACTGACCTCTTCATCACCACCACCCATCATGCCTCTATGAACAGAGGTCAGTGTCCTGGGGTTGGTGGACCCCGAGGTCACTCTTTCCACATCGGGTTCCCCCCAAAAGTCCCACTGTCGGTTCCCAATCACATTGCCCCTCTCACGAAACCTACCAAAGCTTCCTCACTCATAAAGGCCCACGCCTCAGCCTCACCACCCCTCTACTCAGACTGACCTTTCGAGTGTTTGACATTGTGGACCATTTGCTCCTCGAAGCTCAATCTTTTGCTTTCATGACAAGGAATATTCTCAAACACTTATTTCCACACCTGTTTAGCTTAGGCCACTTTAATGGCCTCATTTGGAGACTGTGACAGTCCGAGCTGGAAGCTGCCCCCTTCCAGCTGTAATGCTATATGACCTGGCTGTTGGTTCAATTTTGCTGCATTGGTGGGAACATTTGGGTATCTGTGCCTCTTGGTATGCTCTAACCCCTAGGGAGTTGTTTCCAAGGCCAGTGGCTAGTGCTGAATATAAAGCAATCCCCAGGTGGAGTATGAGATCTGCCATCCCAACCGGATCTGATTCTTCCAGGTCACTCTTACTAAGAAGTCATATAGCAACATACATACCCACATATATAACCATATATACTCATATCTCTCCCCTTCTTCACTAAAAGGACACTGTGCAATGTGCCCAGTGGGCAAGTTACAGAAGCTATCGAGTGGGGGTGGAAGACCCCTTTATAGGACACCCCTCACTTTCTCCTTTCTGTTAGCTGGAATAAGATCATGATGACTGGAGCTTCAGCAGCCATGTTAGACCATGAAGGGACCTAAGAGCAGAAAGATGGGAGAGGGCTGTCTGGGTGGTTCTTGGGACCACCAAGATAACCTCGGACTGCTTTCTTTTGGATTCTTTAATGTAAGAAAAAAATTAATCGCTACTAGTTTAAGCCATCAGGTTATAATGAGCCTTTCTGTTATAGGTAGTTTGTTATTCTTAACTGATCGTACACTGGAACTTCTGGAAAAGCTCCTCTTCATTCTTTCCCATAAATCACTCCTTGGGATATTGTGATATAAGAAAGACTATATATTTGGTCATCATCCCAGTCCCTAGGACTGAGTTCCAAAAACCTTGAGAACTTCCTAAGAGGAACAGTTTCTATTACTCACAATAAGTATCTTAAACTACACCTGAATTTATGCTAGAAAGGTGACTATTCGTGGGCCCCCAAATAGCATCTCAGTGGGACTGGTTACCTGAAGGAACCAACCATGTGATTAGAATGCTGTAACTTGAAGCCCCACTAAACTTTTGGGCTGGAGAGAAGTGTTGGAGATTCAGTTAATTGCCAATAGTTAAGATTTAACTAACCGGCCTATAAAGGACTTCCACAAAACACGTCCATGTGCTAGGACAACCCCAACTCCACGGAGAAAGAAGCTCCTACACTTGGAACTCTCTCGGACCTCAACCCATGTACCTCTTCATATGATCGTTCACCTTATTTTTCTATAATGTCCTTGTAATAAATGGTAAGCATAAGAAACATGTTTTTCTGAGTTCTGTAAGGCATTCTAGCAAACTATCAAACCTGAAGAGGGGGCCGCGGGTTTATAGCTGGTCAGTTAAAAGTACAGGAGATTCAGGTTTGCGATCAGCATCTGAAGTGGGCACAGTCAGTGGGACAGAGCCTCTAATCTCTGGGATCTGTGCTAACTTCATTCAGGTGGGTGGTATCAGAACTAAATTTAATCACTGGACACCCAGTTGGTGTCTGGAGAGCTAGAGAACTGGTTGGTATGGGGAAAACCTTCACCCATTTGGTATCAAGAGTGTCCTGTGAATAAAAACAGCAGATTCCCACTTATGTATCAGTGATGTTGAATTTCCTTCAAGGAGTCTGAACCATCCGTTTCATAATTAGAGACAAAAAGTAGAAAATGGAAATATCTCTGATGGGTAATGTTCTAAGGGGAACATTACTACTAAAGAATATTCAAAATCCACCAGCCACCTACTAATAGGCAAAACTTACTTAATCCAGGCTTGTTCCTGCTTTGTCAGGGGGAAGAG